CTTTGAGGGCTATTGTAGATCTTCACCAGTATCGGGCACATGGAGGTACCATGCTCAGACTCTGAAGGTAAAGAGATGAACTTCCTCAGGAACAGAAAGAGAATCTACCAGGATATTTGAATTAAAAACTGTTCTATGTGAGCACAGGAGGAGGTTAAAAGAAGAGCAATTAACAAACCCTAACGAAAGTAATTAAGAAGCCACTGGCATCCCCGTGCTCATAGGGCTGAGCAGACTACTGAAATCCTGGTTTTGCCAAAGTGGGTAAGTTTTGATCCTGGTGAAGCAGTTAAGAAGTGCGTTCTGCTCATAAATTAACGAGTTTGGAAGTATAGTCACGGCAGCTCTTCCATCCTGGAATTTAAGAGATTTTTCTCTCCTCTCCCTCTGTTTTGCTTTTCTTTGTTTTATTTTCTGAATGTAAAGTTCAAGAGGTTAGAGAGAATGCTAAAAGATGAGTGTTTTGCATGAGTGTTTGTTGGGAGGCATTAAATACGCATCTACGAATTTGATTTTCATGTGGTATAAAATAAAATAGGTCTGTTATGGCAGTGTTGTAAACTAAAATACAAAGGCTGTTTGGACCCAAAAGTACTTTTTCTAAACTAAATTGTATACGTAAAATAAAAGATTCATTTAGTATTTATAAAACTAGAGGAAAATATACTATCAGTTTAACTATATATGGATACACACATACAATTATATTGGTGTATATATTTATAACTATTATATATGCATGTGTGCAGGTATATGTTGTTATGTATTTATATATTTTAAACATGTTATATATTTATAAACAATATATACACACTTTATATGCACATATTTTATTTATGATCTATGATCTTCTTTCTCCATATCTACTACAGTCGCAGCTATAAATATAACACTTCCATCCTTTCCAAGACTTTATTTAAAAATAAAATACTGGCCCAAAGTTTCGCTTACATTTATTTCCTTTCAAGCATTTGCTTCTCAGATTTATAAACTGGGACCCTCAAAGCACTTATAGCTTTGGGTAAAAAGTTTGCACGTAGAAATACACAGACTGGATCAGATTCCAAAATCCACCATTGCAGGATGAAAGCCTTCCAGGTTTCCCGTTTGAGAAAGGCTGCCCAGGACCCCCACGGGAAGGTGACTGCTGTGTAAAGAGCAGGCCCCATCCTGCAGCACAGCACTCTGTGGCCCACAACGTCTGCTGATTCTGTTTGTTTCATGCTGTCTTTTGCAATCAAAAGAAAATCTCGATCCAGTTCATCCTGAAGCTTCATTTAAAAAAAAAAAAATCACAGCATAGAAGTGCAGCGTCACTAATCGCTCCTCTTCGACTCTAAGGTACCAAATTCTAATCATAAAGACGCTTCATCTCCACACATACTTCCATTTTAGCAATGGCCCCAGCTACCTGAACACAAAACACCCTATTCTGAGGAGTCCCTGCATAAGAAGGGGTCTCACTGCTTTCTCCAAAAGCGTCCTTCTTTGCTCTGCTTTGCAATGCATGGAGCTGAAACCTTTAGACATTTCTCTTTTGTCAGCAGGAATGCCATGTTGCCGTGAATACTCTGAACTGAAGGCCAGTGAAAGAGCCTGGAAGCAAAGTCTCTCTGATATTCCCCACCTCATTTTATCCTGCTCTGCTCTGTCTCCCAAAGCAGGTCACAGAAACTGGGACACTTCTCCCCAAGAAACAGCTATGAAATTGACCGATGTCGCTGTCTGACAGTCTCCCTTGTCTCTTGAAAGACTCATGTGACAGGTGTCCCCCACAGTTCTGGAAGGAAAATATCACACAAAGGACGAGAAGAATCTAAGCAGACAGGCCTTACTGATTGTCCCCGTCTTGGATTTTTACTGTTAGTTTACATGAATGTTGTCCAACTTCATGTCTACACAGCTTCTCACAAAAAAAAAAAAAAAAAAAA